AACCCCGGAAGATTCATGTTGGTTCTGTTCATGTGGATGGTCTCTGTAGGTTCTTTCATAAAAGTTAGCTCCTTCCTCCTTCTTTATGAAATTGTGTAAAATACAACAGGCTAGAACAATCCGAGAAATCACAGGCACTGAGAACCAACTAACATCCCTCAAAATTCCCCATAGCATTTTCATAATTCCAAAAATCTTCTCTATCACGTTCCTAGCATGAGCATGTCTGCAATTGTAGTACTCTTCCTTGTTTCGTGAAAGTTCCCCCCCCCCCCCACCGGTTCATCAATATGGTATCTTGGCCCCCGAATAGGGGTCAAGAACCCAGGGTTGTTGCCATACCCTGAATCACATAAGTAATAACACCCTATGTCAAAAAATAATTAGTATTAGCATTTCCCACCCGTGTGAGAATACTTAATCTATATGCCTTGTAGGTTTTTGTTTATGAAACTATTACCTTCCGGCACAACTAGGCCATTCGACCTGTTTAATGCATCTCTCAACACTCTCGCATCATGTGCAGACCCTTCCCATCCAGCTAGACGATATATGAACTCTAAATCTGGGAGTACAAACACCCAAACAATTGATGGAGAGATGACCGGACCTATCTCGATACGTAGTTCGCTCTTCCTTCAAGGGTCGCACGTTAATGTGGGTTCCGTCAAGAGCTCCCAAACAATTCTGAGATAAAGAAGCAAACAATTAAGCTAAACAATACTTCAAATGCTTGTAATATTGTCTTAACAAATGTCAAAGTATCCGACCTTGAAGTATTTCCATCTGTTATTGGTGGCATCAGCGAGAATGAGTTCGGGTTTCTTCATAAGCTGGTTGTTGAGTCTTAGAATTGCCCGTAAGACTCGGTGAACAACCTATATAAATCATCTCAGAAGAGCGGCAAAAATCCACTGCTAAACTAAGAATTTTGTTGTTATATGATATAGCCGATAGAAAGATAAGAACCATTTTATCTACTTCAGCATTTCGGGTCCTTTTCAGCCCACCTTCCGAAACTAAAAGGTCACATAGCTTCTTGAATAAGCTACGTTGCATCCTAATCTTCCTGTGACTCTCGTCATCACTGAATTTGGTACATTTGTCAATCACCCTTTGCCTATCGTACTAACGCATCATGTAACTATCTAAGGGCTGCCTACCAATTTTAGGATTACGAATTAGCATCTTTGTAAGTTCCATCACCTTCATTCCTAAATTGACATAAATCATGACAAGGTTCCAAAATGAGCTAATAGCAACAATCACTTTGCGCCTTTCCGTAGCAGACATCGTGAAAAGCCGAGACATCCTTTATCAAAAATTGAAAAATTGAATTAAAAACACAGCAACTACTATACTGCAGACATCGTGGCCAAGAACAACAACATACTAACAACAACTAAGCTTTGGGGGGAACCCGCCATATGCAGTAGCGCACATACAAGCAAGCAAGCTAACAAGCAATAAATTAAGCCCAACACAAAAGCATAGAGAAGGAAGATAAAGATGGTGGCATTGAAAAATTTACATCATTTGGGAATCAAACAACAACAAATCAATTAAAAGAAGAGAAAGGGTAAATGGAATAGTTTATTTGCCCGCCCCAACATGGCTCCGGTGAGGCTATGGGTTCTACGCAGGTAACCCACAAACCAACAATAGTACAAACTTATGGGAGAAGACGCTGACATCCGCGCAAAAAACGAAAGAACAGAACCCTAAATATCCATATTGTAACCCGAAGAAGAGTAACTAACCTGAAATGACTTGATCTAGCAGACCCAACGCCTTTGCTACTGAACCCTCTGACTGTTGCTTCGTTGCCACCAATGAGGTCGCTTCAGATGCCACACGCTCGTTGAGCTTCCTTCTTTTGTTACAATAGAAACAGAAGTGATGTAGATTATTCAAGAATCGAAGTCGATTTGCTTTATAAAAAGAAGATATCAATGAACTTCTATGAAATGGTTCTTTGGTTGGGAGTGACTGCAGGTAAATGGGTTGATGGATAGGTTAATAGAATGAGGAGGGTAAAATAGGATTAACACAAAAGGAGCATGGGCATTTATGAAATAAAATGATCAAATATTGTGGGATTTTAAAATAGCCGATGACCATCATCTATTTCACAATCCCAGAAATCTCTAATATTTAAAATTTCTTATCATATAAATGCTTTCCAAATGAGTGATTTTGATTAAAATCTCACACCATGCGGGATTGTGCCCAAATCGAACACTAAGCGTCATCCATACTACATCTATAACCCAACACCCTAGAATCATGACTCATATTTTCACAATTCTTTTTACACCTCTTTGGATTTTTTTAGCCACATTCGTTTCCTCCCCAATCAATGGCCTTCTTAATCCCCCTCTTCTTATTCCTCAAAAACCTCATCCTTCATACAAAACAAAGGCTTATGCATTAAAAAAAGGTTAATACCTTAATTTAATCCGGACTATAGCTAAACTTTCTAATTTGGTCCGTGGTTTTTAAAATTGCTCCCCTAGCCCGAACTATCTACCATACTTCCTTGCTTGGCCGGACGTGAGTTTTTATCGTTAAATTGGACGGTTAACTCCATTGACTGTTAGTAAAGTGATACTAACAGTCAATGAAGTTAACCGTCCAATTTAACGATAAAAAATAATTACAAAAATTCATAATTCCAATTTTTTTATTTTAGGTTCACTGACGTGGAAAATGATTTGGCGCTTTACTAACAGTCAATGGAGTTGACCGTCTAATTTGACGGTCAAAACCTATTTCAGGCCAAGTAAGGAAGTATGGTGCATAATTCGGGCAGGGGAACAATTTTAAAAATCACGAACCAAAATAGAAAGTTTAAGTGTATTTCGAATCAAAATAAGTTATTAACCATAAAAAAAATATTGTAGAGGGGCTTCTTGTCATCTACCAATAGTATAATGGTGTCTCTAGCCAATAATCCTCAGCACCTGAACATTTTATCCTTCTATTTCTTTGTCGGGTTGAGAGCCGGAAATCCATTACTTCTCCAGTTCTCCTCCCCCTTCTTATCCCTTTCCACCTACAGAGAGTCAGAGACAGTGTAAAGCAGAGAACGGAGCAAACGAAAAAAAATGAACCCATCAATCTGTTTACCATCATCGGCGCCGTCGTTGAACCCAAACGCCAACCCATTTCACGGTTACTTGCTAGCTTCCAGGCCATCTCCCATTCGACGGCGGAGCACGCCTTCAACCACCGCCATCAGAGCCCAGCAGCTGCCCGTCGCCAGAGAAGCGGTGTTGAAGGATTTCCACCGACGAAGAGCTCTCAAGGTTCTTTAAAAAAAATTCTGTTTAGACCCTTTCTCTACATGCAACATCCTTTTTACTCAACGGTCGATGGTTCCTTTGCTCAGATTATCACTGGCCTCCAGAACTTCAACAGAGACAATGTCGCTTCGGTTGTCACCGCCGCCGATAAGGTCAGGGGAAACCCAGAATTCGTCCCGTTTATCAAAAATCATGTAACCCTCCCAATTTACTGAAAGAAGCTTTGCAGGGAGGAGCGACGCATGTGGATATAGCTTGCGACCCTGAATTGGTGAAGCTCGCAATTGCCCTTACTTCTCTCCCGGTAAAATGGCTTTTTCACTTGAAGGGCGAAATTTGATCTGATTAGAGTTCCTTTGTGGAGCTAAAAGTAACTGGTAAAATCTTGCTTGCTTGCTTTGCAGGTGTGTGTCTCCTCTGTAGATCCGGCAGCATTTCCGGCTGCCATTGAAGCTGGAGCAACAATGGTCTCATCTCTTGAACAGAAAATGATGCATTTGCTTTAATTTCCAGACATTTGTGCTGACAAAACCGCCTTCCTGCGATGTTGGTGGCAGGTGGAGATCGGAAACTATGATTCGTTTTATGAAGCTGGGATTGTATTCTCTCCGGAGCAGGTTGTTGATTCTAACTGTTGATGTTATTTCAACACGAAACCAACGCGGTCGAAAGCTCTGATATCATGCCGGCTTTAATCATTTGCATTCAGAGGTTAGATACTTTCATCTATCAGCACCTGAATTTTAGTTCGTTTTTTTTTCTTCTTCCTGCAGATACTAAACCTGACAACAGAGACGAGGAGGATTCTTCCTTATGTTCCATTATCAGTCACTGTGCCTCACACACTTAGCCTCCCTGACCAGGTAATTCAATCAATAGAAGAGTACTAGTATACGATATTCGTTTCCCGTCGTTAAGCCATTTCGTGGAATGATCGACCGCACAGATCAAGCTAGCAGAGCTGTTGGAGCAGGAAGGTGTGGACATTATACAAACTGAAGGAGGGAAATGCTCAAATCCTTCCAAATCTGGTGTTTTGGGTTTGATTGAGAAGGTAGTAATAATGCTGTGCTCGCAATGCCTAACCAATATCGCGGTATGATATACTGATGATTACTCATGTTGTACAGGCAACGCCTACCTTGGCAGCTGCATACTCAATCTCAAGAGCAGTGAAGATTCCTGTGATGTGTTCATCTGGACTCAGTGCAGTCACGGCGCCCATGGCCATCACAGCAGGAGCTTCTGGTGTGGTACGTATCTAGCAGCGTCGTTATTTCTAGACTCACGGCTCTTAACAATTCTATCCCAGATATGGTAATCCAGGGGAGGAGAATTAACTCGAACACAACACGGTTTTTTTTGTATCTGTGATTGCAGGGTGTGGGCTCAGCCATTAACAAGCTCAACGATGTAGTTGCCATGATTGCAGAAGTCAGAAGCATTGCAGCTTCTTTGGGCATTTCAGCTGACAGAAGTAGCTTAGCTGACGAGAAAATCGTCGTAATGTAACACAATAGTGTAGTAGTGTTCAATATCCATGGGGATTGTGTGGGTAGCCGGCTACAATAGATGAAAGATATGTACTACTATGAACCCCCTACCGAAAGGGACAACTTTACGATCAGAATAAAACGGCATGAATCGAGATAGAGGTAACTAAATTCGGGTCAATTAACTCCAGAATCGACAAGGTTTTGACATCTGCAATGACATGGTTTTTACCTTGTCTACAAAACTATTAACCTATTTACTTCAATGTCAGTTCACATTAGTTGTCATATCTCATATGCACAGAATCACATACCCATTTACACAAACAAGGTAATGATCACAAAAGGGATGTATAACTTCTGTGCTCGTGTACTTAATAGCTTGTGCCTGCTCAAGGATTGGTAGCTGAATACAATAGTCCTAGTAGTAATCGTCGGAGTCGGAGTCCTCATCACTGTCCTCGTATTCGCCAGATTCCTGCAGCAAATTATTCTTCTTTAAGATCATAGACATTAGAATCTGCTTAAGATGGGGAGGTAGCTGGGAATGGTTTACCTTGTTCTCTGTGTAATCCTTCATGGCAATTTCAAACTCTGCCATTTTCTGGATGGCGATGTCATAGTACTTGACTTTTTCCTATAACAGGCAGAAAAGAAAACATTAGAAGGTCATTCTGAAGTAGAGCATGGCAGCAATGTGCGCAAGGAAAGGCTGCAGAGGATGCTAAAACAATCAACATAAACATAGCAGAAGTTGAAAGAATGGTAAATGGTTCTATAGTTACAAGTAGATGCCCAAGCAAGTAATGGAGCTGGTATAGGCTTCAAATTTGCAGGTGTAAAAGTTCGCAATGCTGTTGCCATAAATACGAATGGAACTTGGTCTGCAGCATGATTCGAATATACTGACTACAAATGAGCTTTGGTTAAGAATAGCCAGAGAAGGGAGGCTACAGAATTCCCTCTAATGATTCCAATGGAGATGCTTTCAAGCGAACAATTGGAGCAATAGCAAAGTGACTGGAGAGTGAAAACAGACAGCAAAAACATATGGCAGGAGCATTTTCCTCTCATGACAAACAAACCTATTGTTTAGTCTCCACATTTATATCATTAATCAAAGAGCAACATTAATCAAGAAGAGAACAGAACATATCATTAATAAAAGAGCAACACCAATCAAACCTCATATGTCATCCTTTTCCATTTCTCCCCGCATGCTTTGCTAAACTGAAACAAAAAATGGCAAAGCAATCGACTATGGCATCAGGGGCAGCACAAAAAAAGACGGAAACAAATGACTTGAAACAACCCAGTGTGCATCAAAAGACTCACCTCACGCGCCCTGGACTTGACATCTGGGTTCTGCTCATGAAATTCTTTGCGAAAATCTTCCCTACAGATTCAGAAAAGAGAACAAGTTCAGCGTAGTTCAAAGACCAGGCTGAAATAGTTACAGCACAGAAACAATGACAGTTCGATCGAGCCATAGCGAAGACTGAAGATAGTGCAGGAATCTTCATCACTTCTTGTCTGCAAAAACCGCTCAACCAAAGCACGAACCATTGAAATTATCAAAATGCTCTAATCAACATAAATGAGCGGATTTTGAGAGAGACACTCCTTATCATGACGATACGGAACATCCAAGATCGTCCAAAACAGACATCAAATGGAGCTTTCAATTCAGCTTCCTACAGACTATCCACTAACATTGAAGTCTCAACAACCCAGCAAACGCAGCCAACCCTTTCAGGAACCAGGCATTCCCTACAGCCCCCCTCAATGGAATCATATCTTGCAGCTCTCCATTGGCGCATTAAGAATAGTAGTAAAGAATGAAGCAACCGATGATAAGCATGCGACTCAATGTAATCAACAAGCAAAACACTAAACCAGCTAGGTCAAGGCCTTTCTTGGGAGGGGGTGCTAGCTAGCAGCTCTCATGCCAAACAGATAACAGAATCAAAGAAAATGGGGCAAGCAAGCTAGCGACTCACATGTAAAAGAAGAAGGCGCATGGCGGCATCTTCGGCTTCTTCTTCGTTATCGACTTCGTTACATTCAGTTTCCTTTCGAACTCGCTGCACAACGACGCTTGTCTTACGGCATTCCTCACCCGCTAGTCAGATTTAATTCTCAACAACATCGTTCTCCTGGAACCAAAGAAAAATTTACAGAGACAGCTCTCAGCGCTTGATGCTTCTTAGCAGAGCGCAAAGTAAGGTTGACAGGCAACAAAGAATTATCGCATAATCGGTCGCTCGAACTTCGTGATTCGAAGATTTTCTCGGCGGCCAAACAGTCAAAGAAGAGGGGAACGGGAAGGAAAATTTTGCACGAAGTGAAGTCGGATTCTCAGAGTGAGGGGAATTGGAGCTTACCTGTAGGAGTTGTAGGTGGGCGTTTCAACGGGAGCCGAGGAGGCTGGAGAAGAAGAAGGGGGAGAAGAGGAGTTCTTCGACGTTGAAGCTTGCTTGGCCACCATGGACGTTCTTCCTTTCTTGCTCTCTGCGTTTTCCCTTCTGTTCTTTCTTCGTGAGGTCACGACTCACGTGTGCCTGGTCTCTCGTCCGTAACCGTAACGCATAAATGCCACGACCCACGAATTCGAACCGCTTGTGCTTCTACGACACCGTTTTCGCGAAGCTGGAAATGTTCTGGTACTGGGCTCAGTTCCCGGCCACTTCGAGTTTGGGCCAGTGGGCACATCAGTGTGGTTAAGATGCTAACGTCAAAGACCAAAAGCCCAAAACTCAGAGAACATCTTAATTCTTAACTAGGGTTGTTCAAACGGATTGCATATTAACCGGTAACATTCGGTTAATTTGGTTAATTTGGATAATTGGTTTGGTTTGATTAAACAACTTAGCTTATTTGGTTTAGGTGGTTTGGTTTGGTTTCAACACTGCTAACCAATAAAACCAATTAACCAATTAATGATACACCTAATATACAAAATTATTTATACTTCCATGCAACCAACCAAACCAAACTTTCATGATTCCCTATTTTATTTGCATGTGCACAACAAACCAAAGCATTATGGGTCAAAAATTAAATGAGCCTACCTATTTACTAAACCAAAATATTTTGGACAACTACTAGACTTTACTATTACGTACAATATCATGACAGCCACCTCAAACTATGTATAGTTTAAGTATTTTGTAGGAGAGCTTTAACTTCCTGATGAGTAGTATTAATATGTATTTAATATTTATGTTAAGGGTTAGTTATAAGCTAACTATATTAGGTGCATATATGATGTATTAACTCGAATGATAATAATAATAATCATAAATGGTTAGTCTTATCATTATTTTGCTTATATATTTGGTTAATCTGATTATCCGACTAACCAAACCAATTAAACTTTGGTTTGGTTAATTTGGTTTTCGTGTTAATTTGGACGGTTTGGTTAAGACATTTATTCCATGGTAAATGAAATTTAGGCTTAATTGATTTGGTTATTACCACAGTAACCATTCGAACACCCCTAATCTTAACAGCTAACGCCCTATTTGTTTTATTTTTTAGATTTTGTAGCTAGTAGATATTATTTTATGAAAATAATCAAACAAATATTTCTTTAAATATTTTTTGTAATCCAATAAGACCAATGTAGATTTTTTTTTTTTTTTATAAATGGATGCAGTGCATCTCAGCCTTCATTCAAAACCAAACGGGGTTCAAAGATCTCCTGGCAATCGTACATACTATAGTTAAACAAAGCAGGATCAGTACAGGAAATGGAATGGTAACCTAGTGGCAACAAATGCCCACGGCTAGCAAGATGATCAGCACACTTATTCCCCTCTTTATAAACATGGGAAACAACAACTTCCCATTGGCGGGTGAGCAGCTCTCGGAATCTCTGGATAATGGCCGTCTGCTGGTGGTCTTGCGTGTCCAATCTCTGAAGCAGTTGGACCGCATAAAGAGAATCCAGCTCCACCCTGACACGTCGATGGCCTGTGTCCCAAGCCAGCTGCAACCCTTCCACAGCGCCTCTCAACTCGGCCCGGGTGATAGAGCAACTCCCCAGGTTAATCGCGTACGCTGCAAGGCAACGTCTAGTATGATCTCGAATCAGGCCACCGGCCGAAGCATGGCCTAAATCAGTATGAACGGACCCGTCAGAGTTGAGAGTAACCCACTCGGGAGGTGGCGGCTTCCAATAGATCTCCACCTCCATGAGACCAATAGATCTCCACCTCCGTTCTCATGGGCAGGCGATCTCCACCTCCGATCTCGAATCTCCACCAATGCAGATTCCTTTTGACACAGTTTTTGAGGTAAATTGATAATGTTTACATAACGTAATTTCAGTATTTGTATAATGTGGTTTGGATATTCACACAAAATATTCGAGTATGTGGTGTGAACACCCCAACTACGTCATGTGAATAATGTTTCGGAAGAACAAAGGAGGAAAATTAACTTAGCTATCTTCTGATACTAAACAAGGGCTCAATTCTTGCTGGTTCTGCTACAAATAACTTAGCTACAGATCAAGAACTCATGCTACACGAAGGCCGGATGCAAGGAGTTGGAAATAGTTTATAGTTTAGAAGCAAAAATTACAAATGCAAAAAACCTGAACCATTTCTGTAAACTAAGTCTTTCTTAGCCTAGTAGATTTGTCCTCAAAATCATTCAACAACAACCACAACTGCAGATTTCCCAGTCTTTTCCGAGCTTCCAGCTTTACTCTCAGGGCTTAAATGCTGAAAACGCCACAACTGAATTGTGTCCTCCAAATCCGAAGGAATTTGAGATGGCTGCAAAGAACAACCAGAGTGGTTTTAGATTCTCTCACTTGAGAGTAAGTGCGGTGATCATTGTTCAAAGGGTCTAGCTGTCTTACCAACGTTCACTTCGTGCTGCTGCTTCTCGTTGGGAACTGTGTTGAATTCGACTGAAGGCTCTGGATTCTGGTTTAACACACACGAGAGATTTCAGTTCATTAACCTCATAAAAGACCTAGAGAGCAAAACTCAGATGTTCATATAGCTATTTGCACAAAGAGCACTGACTAATAATACCACATACAAATTGGTTAATGGAAGGATGTAGCCATCCCGTGTTGATAGCCTTCACGGTAGCTATTGCTTCCAAACCTCCAGAAGCACCAAGACAGTGACCTATCATGGACTGAGAATGACAAAAACAAAAGGCAAGAAGTGAGATTTACTGATTTAGCAGCACAACCTCACAAAATAGATTGTCCAAAAAAACACAAAGTTCAGAGAAGCCAAAAGAACTTCCAGGATAAACCAATCTTAAAGGAGACAAAAGGTTTACCTTGGTTGCATTGATTTTAATCTCCGAAGTGTTTTTAAACACCTTCTTTATAGCATTTATCTCCGCAAGGTCACCAGCAAGAGTCGAGGTCGCATGAGCGTTTATGTAGTTGACCTGAGAAGCAAAACATGATGGCGTTAGAAAATAGGCAAACAAACAACCTAATCAGCCAAGAATATGCTCTTCCTGGGCTTTCCTACTGGTAGATTACTAGAAAGAACCACAGGAAAAGTCATGTCAATTCATTTTGATTCTAGCAAACTCATAGCCAAAAACTTTGTAAGCTAACTGTACTCATACAGTTAACAAGCAAGATCAGCCTCTTTCCATGTATTCATAGACCGAATTTTCAGCTTCGTCATCCTCCAAAAGTCAGAATACAAAAGGAAGATTGACCATTGATATAAGTGGGAAACTATTGCAAAACTAGGAATCATTGCCAGTTACCATTTACCAATGCACACCCACAATATGCCAAAGAAACCAACAAACAAAGGCAATAAGAGCAAAGTGGACTAAATGGAGCCACAACAAAGAGTGATTTATTTCTCTTATAACTGTAGTACTATTGATTTTCAGAGAGAAGTTGGAGGAACTTGTCACCTCTTCAGGCGAGACACCAGCATCTTCGAGACTTCTCTCGATACAAGTAGAAACTCCAAGTCCATCAGCTCTTGGGTCAGTCATATGATAAGCATCGCAGTTAACAGCACCTCCCAAGTACTCAGCAATGATGGGTGCCCCACGTTTCATGGCATGTTCCAAACTCTCCATAATCTGCAGCACATTTAAGATTAATCCTTAAGCTCTTTTAAATTTTGAGCTAGTATTACTACATCATCATCATCTAGTTTGAAGTTCATAAATGAAAAGTTTTTAGTGAAGAAAGAAGGATAACAGATACCAATGAATGACAACTTACCAATACTCCTGAACCTTCACCCATGACAAAACCATCTCGATCTCTGTCCCATGGCCTTGAAGCAGTTTTCGGGTCATCATTTCTCTGGGACAAGGCCCTACATGCCACAAATCCTCCCAACCCAATAGGAATAACAGCAGCTTCAGTTCCACCAGCAATCATCAAATCAGCCTCACCCCGGCGGATATGGTTTGCAGCAGCATAGAAGCAGTAATTAGAAGTTGCACATGCTGTTGAAATGGAGTAATTAGGCCCCATGAAACCAAGCTCAATCCCCAGCAGAGCCGAAGCCATGTTTGTTATGGAGTAAGGAATGAAGAATGGGCTAATTTTCCGGTGTCCTTTCTCAATTAGAGTCTGGACATTGTCAGAAAAGACAGTTAGACCTCCCATCCCTGTTCCAACAAGCACACCAGCTTTCTCCATGTCGATCTGCAATGCATAATTTCCAGAGGCCAAATGAAACGGGATCAAAAGAGAATCAAATGCTAATAAAAAAGAGGGCAATACTACATTTGAAACTTTTTGTCCTGTGCACTTGCAGTTTTCCATTCACTTTTAGATCCTAATTCATAAAGAATTCTGCTTATAACGGAGGATAGTAAGAGTAATCCAAGCTCAGTTTCATTCTACACGTACCAATCAAGGCCAAATTCAGATCCTAAAACCAAAACAACAGAAAACTCCCCAGAACTTAAAAACGGAAGAAACGATAAACCCACCAAGCAAAACAACCAAATCCGCCAAAACCCAAAACCCTACACAGACAAATTGTCAAGTCCAAAATGAGAACACATTTCAATTGAACAGTGAAAGCAAACCTTGGATAGCTTCTCCCCACCAAGATCCGCATCTTCCAGGGCCTTCTTCCCTGCCACAATGCAATACCTCAAGCAATCATCAAGCCTCCGGTCGTTCTTCCCATCGATATAACCCTGAGCAGTAAAACCCCGGATCTGGCCGGCAAACCGGGTCGGAAACTTGGACGCATCGAAGCGGTCGATTAGAGTGATCCCACTCTCCCCAGAAAGCAGCTTGTCGTAGTAAGCATCCACATCGTTGCCGAATACGGAGACCAATCCCATGCCGGTGATTACAACCCTCTTCTTCGGGTCAGTCTCCCGCTTGGGAGCTGAAACGGAGACATTGGAAGAGGCGGCGATGACGGGGAGCTTCCTCTGGGAGAAGAATGCGGGGCGGGTCGCATTGCGGGATCTCCGTTGGAGTGGCTGCAGGGGGGAAGGGCGGAGAGAAGAAGGGGATTGCAGAGCTTGCATGGCGGATGACAAAGGAGAATGGGAGAAGTGAGATTTTCAGCAATGGGGGCGATGCGAACGAGGGGGGAGGACAGAAGGGAAAAGATAGGCGGGCGGAAGAAGAGTCAATTGGCAGGAGGACTGTTGTAGTCAGGGGCGGATACATGGGACTCTAGGGGTGTCCCGGGACACCCCTAAAATTTGGGGAAACGATTATCCAACCTCCGATAATAGTTTCGTATGGGTATACAAAATATAATTGGTAATCCGGGACACCCTAACATTTGAAAAAATGATTATCCTACCCTCGATAATAGTTTGCTTATGATTAACAAAATATAAGTGGTAGTCCGTGTTATTCCAACCTAGGACACTACTATTATCAAACATATTCTAATTATGTTGCTACTCATTTGTTATTCTATTTTAAACATCATGCAACAGTAAAACGCTATTTCTTTATCCCCAACTATTTTCAATACCTAATAATTAAACTACGTACACGCTACCCTTAATTTTGAATTGATTTTATGGTTACATGGCAAGTGTTGAAAGAGTCTTTTCTACTTCAAGCTACATTAAGAACAAGGTTAGAAATCGAATATGTGATAAGTTCGTGAAGTATTGTCTAGTAGGATATGTAGATTTTTTTTTAATAGTGCATACACGAAGTTTATTTATATTATTTTTTCAAAATATGAAAACACATCATGAATTTTAATAAAAAATTTATACAAGTATGATATTTTTAATATATGAATTATTTAATTTATTATTTAATTTTTAAGAGGACACCCCTGTGAAAATTTTCTGAATCCGCCACTGGTTGTAGTTGTCTATATTTTACACATTTGGAACTAGGGGTGAATAAATACACCCGCAAACCGATCCACTCGTCCAACCCGAACCAACCCACCCGTATTTATCGCTAAAACGAAGGTTTTGGGTTGAGTGAGGGTTTTCTTTTGTACAACACGCCTCTTTTAGATTGGGTTTGGATTTTGGATTACACAACCCGTAGAACCCGATCCAACCCGTGTTCCAACTATTAGTATGAGTTCGGATCTAAAAAATATTTATGTAGTATATAGTCATATACTTATGAGAAAATTAAGATATTTCGCCATGTTTTTCTCTCATGATCTCCCTAATCTAATGCATTCTTCGACTTAAAGTTTAGACATAAATTGAATATAGTAATGATTCACGTAATCCTTTTTCTTGTGTACAATTTTAATAGAATAACATATGATGGATGCGTTTGTTTATAACATTTTTAGCCTATTTCAACAAATATCGTGAAAAAAACAAGACATATGTTGAAATAAATAACATTTTACTAAAATTTAAACAACATTTGTAAATTTTCATACCTTTCACATTGGTTCATTCGTTTGAAATTTTAATTAGTTATAAAATATTTTTATGATGTAGAATAATTATATATTTTATGTTGGGTTGGGTTGGGTTTTTACTTAAAAATATCGCCAACCCGACCAACCCAATTAGAAACAAACCGTAGGGTTTAAATTTTTTTGAGTGGGTTTGGGTTTGATATTTTCCAAACCGTAGTGCATGGGTCGGATGATTAAAATGACTAAACCCGAACCACTCGACCCATGTACACCCCTATTTGGAACCTAGAGTGTGCGGGGGTAATTTAACTTTTTATATCTACAATTTTTTTTAGAAGGTTCGACGCTAAAGCGTCTAATTCGTATTAATGATTAATCGATCATGGGAGACTCCCACAATGTCATGACGTAGCCAATGGCCAAGATCCACGTCGTACACATCGAACACATGTGTACCAAAATCAAACATGTGACCTCTGCTAGCGAGAAAGTCAGCAGCAAAATTAGCCTCTCTATACACATGTGAGACTTTCACTTCCCAATCAAACGAAAAAAGTGGTAAAACTACCTAGCCAAGGTTCCGTGTCGATGATTATCGTCCAAGCAATCTCTGATAATGCTAACAGCAGCAGCCGAGTCAAGCTTTAATTCCACGTTTCTGAAGCCTCTTTCCCAAGCAATCCGGAGTCCTTCCAAGGCGCCTTTAAGCTCTGCAGAAGTGATAGTGCATTGGCCAAGGTTGCAGACAAACGCCTCTTTGCATCTTCCAAGATGGTCTCTGATGAGCCCACCTGCAGCAACATCCCCAGAAGGTTGCAGCACCGAGCCATCAGCCTGGACTTGAATCCATCCCTCGTCAGGAGCTTTCCACGCAATCTGACAGCACTGGTAGCTCTTGTCAATTGGAGAAGAAGTGATCAAGTCCCTTTGCTTAGCTTGCTCAATGATGTTAAGCCAAGCTTTAATTCGACAGACCAGCCCTTGTTCTGAAAACTTGCAACCTTCCATAACTTCTTCATTTATTTGTTTCCAGAGGTTCCAGCAAACAACCCCAAAATCCACCCCCTATGTCCTCATTGCTCAGATTCCCAATGATCCAGTCCTGGAGGTTCTAATCATGGATGAGCAGCTTATCCTTGAACTTGTGCCAGATCATGTCAGCTTTCTCACGTCTGCGTAGAATGTGCTCAACAGTTTCTTCCTTGTCCTTGCAGTAGTTGCAGTAGGGATTTGTAGCAATCTTCCTTCTTGTTCTCTCCTTGTTGGTGAAGAGTTTGTCATGGAGGACCAGCCACAGAAAATGTTTTATTCTGCTAGGCCCTTTCCATTTCCACAGCAGCTTCCAGCTTTGAACAGCATCCTCCTCATCACTACTGGCCGCCAGGTTGTATGCAGACTTCAAACGAAACCTGCCATCACGTTCCAGGCCTCAGATCATCTTATCCTCTCCAATATCAGGCTTTGGAGTTTCCATTCCTGCAATCAGGGAGAGAATATCATTAGGGAGAAGAGTTTTAAGTCTTTCCCAGTCCCACTCACCTAAGGGGTGAACCCAGTAGGCAACAGGTGTGTCCAGATCCTCCATGTTGATCTCTCCAGTAATGAAGTTCTCCAGCACCAGGTCATTCTCAATCCATGGATGCCTCCAGAATGAGGTTGTCTCTCCATTTCTGATGCTCCAGCAAGAACCATCCTTTATGAGTGGCATTGCCTGCACAATAGCTCTCCAAAGACTTGAATGATTAGTATTTTTCATGGATGTGATCTCACCATTCCTATGCTTAAAATATTTCCCCTAAAGAACCTAAACCCACAAAGCATCCTCATTATTAAAAATTTGCCAGGGCAGTTTGATCATTAAGGCTTTATTCAAACAACAGGCAGATCTTAACCCCATTCGCCCTTGTGTCTTAGGTTTGCAAATGGTATCCCATGAGACAAGGTGAGGCTTCTTTTTACCATCTTGAGACCCCCAAACAAAACCCCTAACTTTCCTATCAATCAGATCACACACAGTGAGAGGGATAGGGGTGGTCTGCATAGCATAGGTTGGGATTGCATTGAGGACAGAGGCTGCCAGTGTCACTCTCCCAGCAAGAGAGAGTGTTCTGGCCTTCCAGGTAGTCAAGCTCTTGTCAATCCTATCAAGAATGTACTTGTAAGTACTCTTGGTGATCCTTCCATGTAGAACAGGAACCCCAAGGTACCTACCCAGGTCATTGGTTTCCTGGATGCCAAGCCTAGAGCAGATAGAGTGTCTAGCAGCCTGAGAAATATTCTTAGAGAAATAGGCTCTGGACTTATCTTTGCTAACAAGCTCACCCGAGGCAAGGCAATAAGACTCAAGACAATTCATAATCACATCAGCCTGACCAGAACTAGCATTGGAGAACAAGACACGGTCATCAGCAAAGAAGAGGTGTGAGAGGGATGGGCCACCAGCAGACAATGACACATGTTTCCAGTTTCCTTCTCTAACTTCCTTAAGGATGCAATGACTTAATCTTTCAACACAAAGAATGAAAAGATAAGGGGAGAGGGGACATCCCTGGCGAAGGCCTCTTGATGGGATGAAGCTTTCAGTTTGTCCACCATTCCACAGCACTTGAAAAGAGGTAGTAGTCACACAGGCCATGATCATCCTAATGCATTCCACAGGTAAGTGAGTAGCAGTCAGGGTTTCTTTAAGGAACTTCCAGTTAATCCTGTCATATGCCTTGGCAAGGTCCACCTTCAGCAACATGCTCCCTTTCCTTCCAGTTTTCCTAGACATAGAATGGACAGTTTCCTGGAGAATAATAATATTGTCAGTAATGTGTCTTTTGGGAACAAAACTCGATTGATTAGGCAAAACAAGATGGGGCATGAGATTCTTAAGATTGTTGGCTATGCTCTTAGCCACCACCTTGTAGCCTACATTACACAGGCTAATGGGTCTAAAGTGGTTCATTGAGGAAGGGGAGTCCACTTTAGGTATCAGAGCCAGAAGGGTCTCATTAATACAATGTATCCTTTCAGGGTTCCTGTAACAAGCAATTATGAAATGGAAGAAGTCACTCCCTACAGTATTCCAACATCTCTGGTAGAAAAGAGCATGGAAACCATCCTTCCCATGAGCTTTGAGGCCATTCATCTCCATGATGATGTATTTGATTTCCTCAAGTGTTGGAAGCCTCCTGAGAGAGTGTAGTCTGCTCTCATCAATGTCAGGAAAGTTGGCTATGATAGTGTTCCTGCAATCACAACTGTCATTAGTACACAGATCCACAAAGTGAGTTCTAGCCATATTCTGAAGTTCATCAGGGTCCAAAACCCATTGACCCTGGTCGTTGAGGAGGGTAGTGATTTTATTCCTCTTCCTTCTGCTGATAGTACAGTTGTGGAAGTAACTGGTGTTCATATCTCCCTTAGTGACCCAATTTTCCCTTGATTTTTGTTTCCACAACATCTCTTCTTGCCAGAGGGTGCTCTCAAGTTCTTCTCTGGTTTCCTATTCCTTGTCAAGTGAACTTCTTGTAGGCTTCCTCTGATTCAACATTTCAAGGGACTTCAGGGATTGAAGAAGCTCCTTCTTTCTTTTAAAAATGTTTCCAAAAACATCTTTATTCCATTTCTGTAGTTCTCTTGTCAGGTCCTGTAAGGAAGGGAGAAACTCAGAGCCATTTTTCCATGATCTTGCAATAAAGGGGAGAAAATCTTTATGATCAAGCCAGGAAACCAAGAAATGGAATCTCCTCACCAAATTTTCCTTTCCACGCTCAGGGGAAGTGGCAGTGAGGATTGGTCTGTGGTCAGA